GGTGCCAACTTGGGCCAGTGAAGCAACATCCTCCACAACTAGACTGAAGAACAAAGGACAGCAACTTGTCTGTTCCCCTTCCCCCAATTCCTCAGTGCTGTTCCCATCCCCCAATTCCCCAATAAAAATCTTAAAAAAAAAAAGACTTTCCTTTCCTGACTGCACTGCTGTGTTGCCTTCGTCATCAGTCATGTGACCAAATATGTTTACAAGGTTCAATTTTATTTGTTTTTGCCGAGATGCAATTTTATATTTTATATTTGGCTTGTCCAGGTTATGTTGAATTGTGATTCTGTTACTGTGATCCAACACATTTATAATCTCTCCCTGGCCTTGCCATTTAAAAATTAGATAAATCTCTCTTCTAAGTATTAAAATCACGTATGTAAAACGTTAGCAGGACAAGCTCAAGAATAGACATCTGTGGCTTGCCATTAGCCACAAGCCTCTCGTAGACATCAATCACTGCTCAGTGGGTATGCTGGGGCTCCCCACTGAAGTCACAAGGATTCACAAGAGGCCTTTATAAAAGCTACCTACTCTACCAGTCTAGCAATACTGTTTTCACAAAAGGAAAATAAATTGAGACTGAGACTTTTTCTTAGTGACCCACTTTCACTTCTAATCATTAGGGGTTCTTTTTCTATGAATTCAAAAACCATTCTTCTAGTAATTCACTCTAGAATCTTGCCCAGATTGGCCTCAAACTTACTAGACTGTGGTGCAACACATATTATTTAGTTCAAAGCAATAACTATATTTTTTTCTAATACTGGAATATCTTTCAACCATGTGCACTTCATTAAGAGATGCATAAACTGTAGAAGTTAACAAAACTAAAGAAATACCCTAAAAATTACAAATATGCCAAAGCAAAAAATATGATAAAAAGTCAAAGCCAGGAACAAAGCACAAACTTCAAAGATGGAAAACTGGAGAAAATTATTCTTTAATCACATAGCATGAATCTCTTACTAGTCATCCTTAAAAAGCTAAAAGATATGCTTTAATCTGTTATTTGGGGGAAGAGTGCAAAATTGCTTCATATTTTTATGACCAATATACATAATATGCTACAAAAATCCAGATGTAAATTACTAATTGGCATTTCATTGACAACTGATTAATTTTTTTTTTTAAAGATTTTTTTTTTATTGGGTAATTGGGGGGATGGGAACAGTGATGGGCAATTGGGGGAAGGGGAACAGACAAGTTGCTGTCGTTTTTTGTTGTTGTTGTTCTTCAATCTAGTTGTGGAGGACGCTGCTTCACTGGCCCAAGTTGGCACCATCATTGCGCTCTTTCCTGGCGAGGCAGATCAGTCGCCGGCTTCTGGACGGCCGCTCACTGCGGCTGCTGGCCGCTCACGCTGGCTGCTGGCTACATATGGTAGCCCATGGCAACCCATTGCCACAGGGACTGCAGCCTACGCCGTCGCCAGCGACTCACGGCAGCCCAGCTCCAGGTTGAGCTGTTGTTCAGCATCTTAGCTGTAGAGGGCAGTGTCACTGGCCCTCATATGTGGGATCCGAACCGGGGCCCTCTGGCATCCCAAGCGAGTTCTTAACCATCGCGCCACTCGGCCGGCCCCTGATTAAGTTTTAATAAGAGCAAGTTTTTAAATTGGAACTTTTAATTTGCTTTTTCAATTTAAAACTATTATGTTCGCATACATGAAGCATCATATTTTTCTCAATTAGCAATATAAAAATAAAAACTCACTTTGTCAGCTCTTCACAAAACAAGGCTAACTTACTACAGATTTCTATCTTTTCAGAATAGGAAGGATACTTAATTATAGAATGGTAGAGCTGTACTACACTACAGCACAAGGAAGCAGAGAAACTTCCATAATAAAAAAGAAAACTATCTAAAATTAAGAGTGTAAGACACCTCCAAGTGGATAAATTATCAATAATTCTAATTTCTACCTAAAGTTTACCCAGAAAAATATTTATCATTCTTTCCAGTGAAACACAAACTTATGAAATAACCATACTTGCAGCCACATCAATTAAGCATGCTAACATTTTAAAAATATGTAAATTTGTACCGTTGACTAATCACTAAAAAAATATTTTTAAATATTGAGGCCTTCTTTGCCTAGATGTTCCAAATTCTAAAAGGCTTTATCCATTTGTGACTATTTCTTTTAGATCAATTAGTCAATACACTTAGCATTTCACATGCAGTAAATTATTCACATGCTCTGTAATCCTTAAATTTGAAAATTACTGGAAAATGCGTTACTGTTTTTCTATGCCAGTCATTGAAAAAGACACATAGTTAGGAGCTTACATAACACTAATGGGTCTAAAATCCACAATTCTGGGCGACAGGAGAGTAACAAACGATTTATGAATGCCATGGTTTGCCTCTATAGAATTTATATACAAACACACACGCACACACAGATTATTTCATCTTAAATGTGCTTCATGAACCATGGCTATCGTTAGCCATTAATGTAACTTTGTGACCAGGAAAACACAGCACTTAGAATTACTGCTCTAAAAGAGCAGTTGGTTTCACTGCTATTTTTAACCATATTTGAAACACGTCACAAATTTTAAATTACAGAGATAAATTAGTTTAAAATTTGATATTCCAGATTCCTGTCAGTAACTAGTCCTGCTTTCACAATTATATACAGGGCTTTAATCTCAATAATGCTAAAAAGCTATTTAGGGATCAGATTAGTTTTAACAACAGCTTTGAATTATTCATGTTTCAAATAGTTTCCAATTTTCTGATTAAGTATTCATCACAAAAAAAGAAATTATATTATTTTAAAGACTCTATTATTTTAGTAAACTCAGATTTGAAACTATGGATGCTACACTTGAGTCATGTTTAAGCACTTAACATATTAATAGCCCAAATGTGACAATTCAGTTTCCTATAAGTATTTTGTGCCTCAAGTAGTCTCAGGAATGTTTTCTTTA